CACCACAGCATGGGAATTAGGGGAGCTGCAATTCAAGGTGAGACTTGGTCAGGGACACAGCCAAACCATGTCACTCAGTAATACCTAAATTCCCAGAATTTCCTGTGTTCCAGGCTTGAAGTCTCATCTTTCCTTTATTCATGTTTTATGGCGTCTGGGGGATTTTTCTGGTTCAAAGATTGATGGCGGCCATGACTGAGCCCTGGGGGAAGAGACCTCGTGCCGTCCCATCTCCATCCCATGGCCTTGGCAGTTAGGTACAGGACTGGAGTGTGGAGTTACTTCTCTCATGCCTAGGATCCCCTACATAGGTTCCATTGAGAAAATGCTCTAATGTAAGTGTCTGGTCCTCATCTATGGCACTAAAACCCAAGTCTCTCCTCTCCTGTTCTGGTGTTCGGTGGTCTGTCCTCGTGTCTGTCCAGCAAGCACGTGCCATCGTGAACAACGCCTTGAAGCTGTATTCCCAAGATAAGACTGGGATGGTGGACTTTGCTCTGGAATCTGGTGGTGAGTAAACAGACGTTCGGATTACTAAGTGAGATGGTCACCTGTTAGCAGGGGTGTGCACTGGAGAGGCTGTTGCTGCCCCACGTCCAGCAGTAAGGACTCCTAACGTTTACACATCTGAGAAAAGGCATGTGATTCTGGGCATGTCCCTGGTGTTCGTTCTTGCTGGCCAGTTGTGTTTGGGGGGCACAGGTGGCTAAGTGCCTGGAAGGGCTGGGGGTGCATGCTTGTGGCTAAGTCAAGGTTCACAGCACAGAAAGTTTGGTCGACTTCACTCTCTCCTGTGCTGTGATCGGGGATTGTTCAGTGCCTTCAGGAGAGACTCAGCAGTGACCACACAGCTCTCCCCGAGGGTGTCCATTCAGCAGCAAGACAGACCGGGAGCAGGAGCAGGCTAAGCAAATGGAATGATGGGGGCAGTGTTTCAGGACCTCAGAGAAATACAAAGGCCGCTGTGGTCAGGGTCTGGGAAACCCTGCAGGGGCACAAGCCTAGGCCAGACCTCTTGGGGCAGATGCATTTGAAAGTCAGAATCGCAGCTGAGGAAAGTCTTGGGGTCCACACAGCCCCTCCATGGGGAGTGGGGCAGCACACCTGGATCAGACACGAGCATTTCCGAAAGAACCATGAGAGGAGAGCTAGACCTGCTTCACGTCTGCTCAGGGAAGGTTTGCACCACATGTGTTATGGAAATCGAAATCTTGGTTTTCTGAAGGTTTGTGGTTTTTTTTTTT